TTAAAAATGATGTTCAAAAAAAAAATAATCCAAATGCAGATCAAGAAACAGAGACACATCTTGAAATGGAAAAGGCCCTCTTCTGAATTGCTAATGAAGTCTGGGATCAGTTGCACTCCAGAGTTTGCACCTGCTTGACTCCACCAGCAGGTGTTGCTGTGAAGTCAAATAAGGCCTTCCCAGAGAGGAGCATCCCTGGGCTGGCCTCGGAGTAGGACTTCTCCACAATATATATGGGAATCTTCATGTTAGCTTATTCATATGTATTTTCACGTGTTTGCTTCTTTTTGATTTAATCCACTGGGAACAACTTGGAAAAACTTTAAGACAACTTTTATTTCAAATATTAGTTTAGGGGTTTTACATCATTTTCTTAATAACTCTTCAGTAAGGTAGGCAAGTCCTTTATCTCTACTGTCTTGGCTAATGTGAAACTCATCATTAGTTGGCAGGCCTGACTTCTTCTAGTTGGTAAGTAATGTTCTAGGATTAGAATGCTGGATTTCTGAGCCTGAGACCAGCACACTTTCTTCCACAGTCCAGATTTATGAAACTGAATGCAAGTATCAGTAATCTGTTTTCTAGTTCACTGAATCCATGAATATAGATGTGAATGTGTATAATTACTTTGACCAAGATTTTTAACTTTATGAGTGCTATTCATTAAGGGCCTAAAAGAGAGTTCTGGAAATATTTGGCCTTAGTAAACTTTCAAAGAAGAGCTTTCTAATATACCATGTAATAAAAAAGTAAAAATCAATTAAAACTTCTACTTTGTTTGCAAATGTAATTGTTAAAATGGGGTTAATTAACTAATGGTAAATACCAAACTCTAAAATTCTGCAATATATACTTAATAGTAAAATGTTCTGAATATATTTTAAAGGAATTAACCTTTCACAAAAAGCCAATTTATATTGTAATAGACAAGGAAAATATACCAACTCTGTTTTGTTCACATATTCATATACACCTCTGCAAAAATATTGCTGTACTGACACACATACTTAAGTACTAAAGTGACAAAGTGACGGACTGTCACAATCTGCCTAGAACTGAAGGGTTTGCTGGGACACGGGACTCTCACTGATAAAGTTGGGACAATTCTAGGCAAACCAGGACAATTGGTCACTCTAGTACACACGTACACACATAATATTTTATGTTTTTTTATATATAATGTATATTTTTTCCTCCTAAAAACTTTAGTCATCTTGCCCAATTATTTTACAACACCATGATATAGTGATGCCCATAATAACCATTCTGGCTAATGAAACTCTTTGCCAATGTGCCAAATTAAGCCAGCATACTGATATTTCTTTTTAGAAATTTTATGTCAGTTTTACACATTTCTTACTTCTTCCTTTTGCTGATACTATGTATTCTGAAACTCATTAAATACTATTAGTTTAAAAAAAGCCAAATAGCCAACTTCCTGAGAATTTATAAAACGTATAAAATGTATTTTCTAGGTATTGTCTATGAGTATTTTGAGGAAATAAAGTGTGTGTGGTCTTTTCAGTTAAAAAAAAAATGTTCTACTGGATCAGATTAGGTGGTCAAACAATAGTGGATTTAAAATGCCAGAAGTGTAATTTTCTCTCATGTTAAAGAAGTGCAAGGACAGGCAGTCCAAGACTGGCAAGGCAGCTTCACAACAGCAGGCCCAAGCTGCTTCTATATTGTTACTCTGAATTTCAAAGTCGAAGGTGGTTGCTGAAACTCCTGCCATCATTACCATATTCCAGTCAGGAGGAAAGAGGAAGTGAAAGAGAATCACATTCAATATTTCAGCATCAGCCAGCACTTAGTTACCTGGCCACACCTACCTGCAATTGATACTGGAAAATATAGACTTCACTGTGAGTAGGTATACTTACTATGTAAACCAAAATTCTGTTACGTAGAGGAAAAAATAAGTATTAGGGAAAAGTCAGAAGTCCCTTGAAACACTTTATCTGAGGGAACTTGGGTGGGTCTGTCAGTTAAGCTGCAGACTTCAGCTCAGGTCATGATCTCACAGTTGTGGGTTCAAGCGCCACATCAGGCTCTGTGCTGACAGCTCAGAGCCCAGAGCCTGCTTTAGATTCTGTGTCTCCCCTCTCTCTGTTTTCCTCCCCCACTCCTGCTCTGTTACTCTCTCTCAACATTAAATAAACAATAAAAATATTTTTTAAAACCCACTTATCTGGATTTACTGCCATAGAAGAAGAAATTTCTACTTTTGTAACCCAAGAATTATTTGTTTTTCTTCTTTACTTCTTTACCCTCAACTTGTAATTCCCATTAAAATTTTTTAAAAATGCCCTTCTGAGCTTCTGCACAGCAAAGGAAACAACCCAGAAAATTAATAGGCAACCAACGGAATGGGAAAAGATAGTTGCAAATGACATAATCAGATTCTGGTTAATATCCAGAATCTATAAGGAACTCACCAAACTCCACGCCCGAAAAACAAACAACCCAGTGAAGAAATGGGCAGAAGACATGAACAGACACTTCTCCAAAGAGGACATCCAGATGGCCAACAGACACATGAAACGATGCTCAGCATCCCTCCTCATCAGGGAAATACAAATCAAAACCACACTGAGATACCACCTCACGCCAGTCAGAGTGGCTACAATGAGCAAATCAGAGAACTCTAGATGCTGGCGAGGATGTGGAGAAACGGGCACCCTCCTGCACTGTTGGTGGGAATGTAAACTGGTACAGCCCCTCTGGAAAACAGTGTGGAGGTTCCTCAGGAAACTAACAATAGAACTCCCTTATGACCCAGCAATAGCACTGCTAGGAATTTACCCAAGGGATACAGAAATGCTGAGGCATAGGAGCACATGTACCCCAATGTTCATAGCAGCACTCTCCACAATAGCTAAAACATGGAAAGAGCCTAAGTGTCCATCAACAGACGAATGGATCAAGAAGATGTGGTTTATCTATACCATGGAATACTACATGGCAATGAGAAACAATGAAATCTGGCCATGTGTAGCAACATGGATGGACCTTGAGGGTGTTATGCTGAGCGAAATAAGTCAGGCAGAGAAGGACAAATATCATATGTTTGCACGTATAGGAGGATTAGGAGGAACTTGACGGAGGAACAAGGGGGAGAAGAAGGGCGGAAATGGTGGGGGAAAGGGAGAGAGGCAAACCATGAGAGACTCTTGAATGCTGACAAAAACTGAGGACTGATGGATGTGGGGGGGAGAGGGGGATGGGCATGAAGGAGGGCACTTTGGGGATGAGCACTGAGTGTTATGTAGAAACTAATTTGACAATAAACTATTTGTAAAAAAAAAAAACAAACAAACAAACAAAAAAAACTAAAAAAAATAAAAAATAAAAAATAAATAAAAATAAAAATGCCCTTCTGTTTAACTCTGTCAGCATGTGAGTTTGCATGTATTTTGGCCTGCATTATCTTGGGCAGATCTCATTCCTGCATCTGAGATGTAGAAATTGAAAGCATGCCTAACTCTCTGCTTATGATTAGATCTAGTGTTTCTTCTTCCAGTTACATATTCAAGTCATACAGATAATGGCTAAATAAGGACTTACATATGGCAAGTGTGCGTACAACCTTGAATCATGTAACCTCCAAGATTCTAAGACTGGCTTTTGACCTCATAACTGTGAACACTCTTCTTGGAGATTCATCAGCCTGCTTTCGTGGGGTCCACAAGTGGAATGAAACTACATGGATACCATGAGCATCCTCAAAGATACCTAGATTTATGACATTTTGTCGCTAAAGGCAATGAGAGACCAATTCCCTTCTTTTACTGGGAAAACCTGAAGAGATAAGTGACTTACCTAAAAACATTCAACTAGTTAGTTGTAAAATGTGGTTTGATAACTACTCCTGGCCCTGTTCTCCAAACCTCACAAACCAGAGATGACCTGTGGTTGTTCAGGCCCTGTCCATAGGAGGACATATCATCATTGTGGCTCTACCACGTTCGGTACTGACATTCAGAGACAGCTTTGTGATGGTCTTCTATTAGCCCTGCATCACCTCTACAGGAGAACATAAGTGTGGTAGAGAGTTACCTCCCATTCTGCAGGGTGAAGAAGTTTAATTGTCCTCTCGCTCATGCATGGGTATGAGAATGGGGCATGCTTTAAAGGCAGGAGTCATTGATTCCTTTCCAGATTCTTAGATCTCCCCAGCAACAGTCCTCATCATATATATTTGGGGAACTCTGATAATTTGTTTGTTTGTTTCTGTGTTACACAGGACAGAAAGTTGTATATGGTCATAGATTTGTCAAATTGGAAGGGACTTAGAGATCATTATTTCCTCAATTCCTTGATTTCTCAGTTGAGAAAACTAAAACCCAGAAAGATCAATTGACTTAGCCAAGATCAGAGTTTTTGCTTATGATTTACAGGAAGCCAAAGCTTAAAACAGCTGTATAGATTATTTCTAGTTAACTATTACCATTCACAGAATAGATTAGTATCTGAAAACTATTTCCTGCTTCAAGAGTGTGGATTTGCAGGGCACCTGGGTGGCTCAGTCGGTTGAGCTTCCGACTTCGGCTCAGGTCATGATCTCGTGGTTCATGGGTTCGAGCCCCATGCCGGGCTCTGTGCTAACAGCTCAGAGCCTGGAGCCTGTTTCGGATTCTGTGTCTCCCTCTCTCTCTACCCTTCCCCTGCTCACACTGTCTCTCTCTCTCTCTCAAAAATAAGTAAAACATTAAAAAAAAAAAAAGAGTGTGGATTTGCTCCAAAACACCTTTTAAATGTATAGTTAGATGACGTGGGTAGTTTTATAAAATATTTTATTTACAGTACAGCTTTACAAAAATAGTCTTAATAAAATTAATACAAAACCATTTCACAATATAACTTATATAACTATCTTCTCAAAAAGTGACATTTGATTATAACACATAAACTACATTTGCATTTGTTAAGTCACATTGTAGTATAAATATGTTTTATCATTTTTTAATAATAAGGTACATACCAATAACAATGAACAATGGACGGCAACATGTTATTTTATTTTTCTTCCAATGTAAAAGTCCACTCTGGCCAAAACAAAATTAACCAAAGGAAAGTAAAACAATTGTCCTTCTGTTCAACAATACAGCCTGTTTTAATTATTTGAGAGTTTATCTGACAAAGACATGGCATTAATCTGAAAGCACCTGGCATAAAGTCTAGTAACAATATCCCCAAAAGCATTCTCCAATGTCTTGTCTTCAACTGTTTATTCAGTATTTTGCCAGTATTCAGTAAATAAAAATTGATCTCAACTCTCCCCTTCATTAGTCTCAAGTGTTCTTAATATGCACTGAGGTTTTAGACCTTCCCAACTGTCATATGTTTAAAAATGTGAGTTTCTGTCTTTGGCTTCAAGTAGAGTTTCACAACACTTATGAAACATACTGAGCTCCTCCATGTGGCTGAATTTCTGTGACTCCCCACCCAACAACATTTCCCCGGATGTGACAAGAGTCTGCTCCTCCGGTCTCTCTTATCTCTTCATTGCTGAGAACACGATCCCAGATATTGAAGCCTGTGAGTCTTCCAGAAAAGGCTAGTGTTTCATCAAAGCCACCACCCACACAGCAGCCGTTCTTTTCCTGGCCAATCTGCAGGATCCCTCCCTCAGGAACAATGTGACCTGTGGCCATTTGGACAATGGTAGCCACCAGTTCACTGTTTACCCACAAGGACATGCGTCCTTTCTCTGAATTCCAGGTGCTGCACAGATGGGTCCACTTCCCCAGGGAAATCACAGTATTGGCAGTCAGTTTGTTCTCCTCTCCACCCACCACAAACACTATGGACTGATAGCCGAGGTACAGCTGGATCTCATATGGATTTCTCTTTGTGCCATAGGAAAACAGGATGGTTTTGTTTAATACATCTGTGGCTTTGACCCAAATGCAGGCACTAAAAGACTCAAGCTTCATTGGTGTTGCTGGATGCACGCTTCCAAAAATCTTCTTGGAACGCATTGGGAATAAAAGTGCTGTTTCACAACCTAGAAGAGCAAGAAAGTAAGAAGGATAAGAGAAAAAATAAAAATTCATTCAGAAATAATGCCAGCATTTAGGTATTTTAGCGTAGGTATTTTAATGACTACAACTGGAAATTATACGCAGTATTATACTATGACTTGAGGAGGAGGAACTTCAAGAGTGATTTCTCGGAGCACCTGGGTGGCTTAGTCGGTTAAGCGTCTGACTTTCGCTTAGGTCATGATCTCGCGGTTTGTGGGTTCGAGCCTCGCATCGGACTCTGTGCTGACTGCCAGCTCAGAGCCTGGTGCCTATTTCAGAGTCTGTATCTCCCTCTCTCTCTGAGCCTCCCCTGCTCACGCTCTCTCTCTCTCCTAGAAATAAATAAAAATATTTTAAAAAAAAAAGTGATTTCTCAGTAGGGGGAAAAGAAGCAGGAATAAGGAAAGTCAATTGTCAGGCTTACACAATGCGGCATCTAAGTGGAGAAGAAGGCATGTAGAGTAGCCAAATTGTCCAAACTCAGAAAATAATGGAAACCATATTTTAATAACTACTTCCCCTCACAATTAGCTTATTTTCTTTTACTGCCCTTTTTTTTTAAATAAAACTGTTGAGTCACTATGCATTAACTTCAAACAATGACACTATTTTCCAAAAACTTAGAGCCAAATTGTTTTCCTCTTCTTGATCTCACCAAGCTTTTCAAAAAAAAAAAAAAAAAAAAACCCACAAAAAAAAGCCTGTGAAACTCAATGGACCCAGCTCACCCTATTTACCCACTGTCAACATGTATTTTTATTTTATTTTTAATGTTTTGTTTATTTATTTTGATAGAAAGTGAGTGAACAAGCAAGCACCAGCACAGAAGAGGGGCAGAGAAAGAGGGAAAGAATTCCAAGCAGGCTCAGTGCTATCAGTGTGGATCCCAACTCAGGGTTCAGTTTGATGAGCTGTGAGATCATGACCTGAGCAGAAACCAAGAGTCAGATGCTCAACTGAGTGAGCCACCCAGGTGCCCCAAGTCTACATGCATTTTTAAATGAAACTCTAGGATAGTCATATTGTTGCTGAACACATTTCATACACCACATGTTCCAGATATTTATAAACTTTGCAAAGTTTGTAGAAAGCCAACTTTGAAAGGCAACAATATATAATAATGATGACCAACTCTAATTGGGTACTCTCTGTGTACCAGATACTGTTCTAATCACTCTATATCATTTTAATCCTACTTAGCAACCCTAAGGGATAGTCTTAATATTCCTATTCTACAGATGAGAAAAGTAAGGCATAGAGCACTAAGTAACTTGGTCATCAGAGGCCACGCCCTTACCTAGCACACTGCATTGCTTCTTAATGGTAGAAGAACCCCTAGATTTGACTAGGAGAGGTGGAACTCCTGTTTGTTTTACTATTAGCAAGCATGCAGATTGTGATGAGTTCCATCTCTCTCTAGGCTTTACTGTTACCTATAAAAGCCTCTTCCATTCTCCTTCTAATATTCTGCAAGTCTGTAAGCAACAAGTATACTCAGGAAGAACTGTGTATATCAAGGAAATGCTTAAAAACTCTTATTTTGTCCACATGTTTATAAACACTAGGCAACAATAGAAAGCCTTTTAAGGAAGAGTGAACCCTTCCAAGGGGCCTACTGGAGAACATATTTCAGCTAAAGAGCACTTAGAAGGATACTTTCAGACGTGGGGGTTGGGAGCTCAGTAAAGTCCCGCATCAGTTCATCTCCAGGTCACATGTCTGGTGAGGAACTAGAGATGCTGAAGTGAAGACCTTCTAAGTGTCTGTGGGAAACATGCTAAAACCTTTCACGGGTGGGCTCTACTTTGTGATAACCTCATATGTGTATGAAAGACCAGAAAAAGAATTTTCTTAATGTAAATGAGGGCGAAGTATTCACTTTATAATAAACTGAAGATTTACCATAAAATAGCTTTGACCAGCAAACTCCCAGAGCATTTAAAGACTAACTAGTGCCTATATAGAATTTGCAGGACCAAACACCCATGCAAAGTGTGCTAAACTAAGTTAAATGCCTGCAAGTGATTGAGGGCTAAGCTCTGTCCTAAAAAATTAAGCAGGTGGACTTAGAAATCATCAAAAACTGAGATTCAGAAAATCATATGAAAGTAACGACAATACTAAAGCACAAGTTGGTCCTGTCACATTTTGCTACTAACTTTTTCAGTGAGTAATTTGAATTTTTGAAGAAAGATTTTTTAAGATTCTTAATGAGGCATTCTTTTTTTCAAATGAAATTGGTAGATGCATTTTTTTTCTAGCTGTGTTAATTAACTCAAACAAAGCTAATGGAACAAAAGATGCATGAGCATTTGAGATATTCTCTGTAATGTTCCAGTAAAGTGGTGTTCAAGAGGGGGCCTACTGCTGTCTAATTACTGATTTCCTGTTTATATAAACCCAGGCAGTCAGGATTGCATTCCAGAGCATTCCTTGATTGCCTCTCTGAGACTCAGCTTCCCCTGCAGGGTGCACGGGCCATATGAGTTCATGTAGTGGAACTTTGTGTTCACAGGTTTCTTTGTGGCTTTTCTGGTGGGGACCAGTGATAGAGGCTCTTTCTATCTCTTTAGAATGTCAGAGACTCTCTCATGAAATGGCTTTTAACTAATAGGTTTTTCTGATTATATTATCAAAGACTGAACAAAATTAAAACCAGGTTCTTAGGAGGCCGACAACAGAATAATTAGGAATCCCTTAGGAACCAAGCTGGCAGGAAAGGAAGAGAAGAGAAATCAAACCATGTGGATAAAAGTACTATTGGACATAAGAAATTTACTATTTTAGAATTCAGAAATATATCCCTCTCTGTTCTAACTAGCATACAGAAGTCACAGTGAAAATTCATGTCATTTCTTTAGTTTTTGGGGTACATTATATGTACACTGATTTTACATGGCTTGTCAAAGACAAGAAATTTCATCCATTAATATAGTCACAGAATTATAATTTGTCTCTTTGTCACTTACATTGAGGATCTCTTGCATATTTGATTTTATGCTTTTTCAGTCCCTGAAACTATACATAATATTCAAGAAAATATGCTTAGTACCGATAAACAGTCCTCAACTATTTAGTAAAGACTGATACGCTGGTATGGTTTCTGTAATTTTAAATGAAACATGCTGTCACAGATGCTTATGATTCTTCTTCCTACTTCAACAGATGAGTTGCTTTATTGTGCATAAAAGGAGGGATGGCACTGTTTGTGATTGTTTTCTGTTCATGAGATTCTCAGGGGCAGTGTAAGTTATATTTTCTCACCTAAGTCACTCATTATCTAATATGACCCACAAATGATTTTTGCACTACTATCTCTTAGAAATTTTGACTTATAAAGGAGTGTTACTTGGCTCCAAATGAATCTCATTTCTTTTAGCCATCTTTCGAATGTATCATTTCAGGCCCACATGTGTTGGAGATTCATGTATATCACATGGGACTCCCAGCAAGTTGCATCTGGTTCAAACCGCCTGCCTGCCTCTGCCTCCCTCCCTCTCTCATTCTCTCTCTCTCTGTCTCTCTCTCTGCCTCTCTGTCTCTTTCGTTTGGCTCTGACCCCATTAAATACCCGGGATCCTACCTCAGACCATTCCACCTTGGATCCCGCTCCCGCAGGTTGATCCTAAGCCTCACATTCTCGGACCACCCCTCTCACGGGCTAATTCCGTAGGCCCCGAGGGCTGGGGGACCCCTCAGGAATTCCACTAATCCTTCAAGAGATCAGGTTCAGTCTCAAGCCTCTAGCTCAGAACCATCGGGGAGGAGGGGCCGGCCCTGGGATTGGAACGTGTCCCTAAAAGTTAGGCAGGGGCCTGAAATAGCGCGGGGAATCGGAGCCCCAGCCTAAAGAGAGAGACAGGCTAAAATTAGAAGAAGTGGAAATCCCTAACGGAGGGAAGCCGGACAGCTAGAGAGGTCACAGTTATAACCGGCCAATAGAACTCCTGCACCTCCTGGTTGGATCGGGTGTCAGTCAGCGGCCCTAGACGCCTATTTCAAGGCTGATGGATACGTGCACTGCTCGGTTCTGGGCTCCTGGCGGCTGGAGAACACTTTGTAAAGTCAGTTTTCGCGCCTTGTATGGTGTGTGTGAGGCCTGCGAGCGTGCCTGAGAAAGAGACGTGTGTGTGCCCCCGCTGAAGCTGGCCCTAGAGGCCTGCCACTGGGCTTCCCGCCACGCGCGTTCCGAGGACAAAGCGGGGGTGGGGGCTGGGGGCGGCGATCCGCTCCGCGTCCTTACCTGCCGGCAGCCAGCGCCCGGCCGCCCAGCCCTGCACGGCGCGGAGGTCGGCTCGCGTCCGCCGCAGCTCCTCGAGCACGGCGCCCAGGGCGCGCCCCGCCTCCTCCGGCCGCGGCGCCCCCGCGCCCTCCAGGCGCGCCAGCCTGCGGCCCGCGTCGCGGCTCGCCTGCAGCAGCTCGTCGAGCGCCCGGGCCAGCCGGGCCTCCGCGGGGGCCGGCGGCGCACACGGCCTCGCCAGGCTGCCCGCCAGGCGGCCCAGCTCCGCCCGCAGCCTCTGCAGCTCGCCCCGGAGGACGTCGTCGGTGGCCTGCAGCAGCATGCCCTCCCTCATCTGCGAGTTCTCCAGCATGATGAAGAGCTTGTCCCACTCGGTGTGCTCCCGACGGCAGTCACACGGCGTGGCTAGAGCGCGGGACACACACGTTACCGACGCGCCCAGGCCTTCCTAGGGTGTGCTTTGTACCAAGCTGACCTCCCTCGGCGGTCCCAAGTCACTGCCCATCCCCAGCACCCCCTCCCCTTTAAGGACACCTCCCGAAAAACAGCGTGAGAGTATCTCGGCAGTGACAGAACCCATTCCCGCGGGTATATATTAAGTGGAACTCTGTGAAATTGCCGTTCGTGAGGCTCAAAACAGGCAAATATCGGCGATTTCATGCGGTCCGAGCCATTGTGTACGTGTGACCAGAAATAACTTGTTGAAACCTCCCCCCCTTTCCTAAAGTGCTTCTTTTCTTTTGCAGAACAAACTCTAATTTTTTAAAGCTCCCTTCGTTGGCTACAAAGTCTACGTAGAATATTTGGACCCAAAGGGATGGATATGTAGTTAGGGTTAGCAGAGAAACAGTTAAAATGAACTTACGGTCCTCAGTGGGATGGAGTCCATTGTCTATTTCATTGTCCAAATTCACATACATGAGTTCATAATCATCCGAGGTCTCGGCAGACACCGCACACCAGAGAGCACAGAACAGAATCGCGGCGAGATGCATTGCTGGCGAGAGACAAAGTTCTTTCTTTTGCCGCTTCCCACAGCTGGCCTGAGGGGACGAGGCGAGCTCTCAAGTAAGCAGGGTTTGAGCCGCGGAGAGTGAGAGTGAGAGGCTGGAGCAGAGAGCCCTTAATAAATGCTGGGGAAAGCCTGAATGGAGATGAATGAGTAATGCCGGTGGCACCGCGGTAACGGGAGTTCCCCAGAATTTGGAGGGGAGGGGGCTGGGTGGGAGGGCGAGGGAAATGTGGTCGTTGCACAATAATAGACCGCAAAGGTTTACACTGCAGTCAGATTAATTGGAGGAGGGTCAGAGGGGAAAGAGGTGGGGAAACTGGGCTAAGACTGTCCCCGTGAGGATTAGCTGTTGTAACTTGAATTGGTAGCACTGAGGGATGAAAGGGAGGGGAGGGGGTGCGGGGGGGGGGGGAGAAACAAGTCAGCAGGCATGAGGCATGAAAGCAAGATCATCATTTCAGCATTTTGTGTGGCGCTTTTACAGTTTCACAGCCCTTTATGTATAGAAAACGTTTCCCACATTTCCTTTGTACACAGTTTTATAGGTCTAAGTTGTGAAAACTACTCTCTGATTCTGAGATAAACCAAGTTGGTAAGGGTTTTGATGGCCCTAGAAGCCAAGTCCATTTGGAGTTACTCCATCTTTAAGCCTTCTGGAGTTGCAACTATGCTTTTATAAACACACTTTTAAAATGACAAAGAGCAAAGCAAAAGCGATAAATTGAATTAAAGAGCTGGGTGAGAGGAATTAGCTGATTTTAGGAATGTTTCTTTTCATGAACTGGTATTATATGGAAATAATATGATTTCACTAGGCTTAGAGTCAAAGATCATGTTTTTAAAGTACATTTAGGGAATCCTGTTTCTGTGGAAATATTGAAGATCTCTCTAAGCTTAAAACTCTACGGTACAAAACACCTAGAAATGCATTTACATTATAATAACTTTAAATGTACAAATGAACTACTAGTAAAGTAAGGGAAGTATCCAGGGGCCAAAGATAAAGGAGGGAACCTAAACCAAATGTGTAAACCCAAGAGCTGATGCCACTCCTCCCCCACCCCTACCCCCACCCTCAGGGAGGTAAAGAGAGGGAAGGGTTATCAGTTCTGTAACAACCAAGTTTTAATGACCATGTCGGAACAAAGCATAGGCCAAAGTGGGGAATTAGAAGTGAGACTCTCACCTAAAGCCAGACCCTCAGAGAGTTACATACGGGATGTCAGTGGATATAACCCCACTCTCTGTTAGGACAGAGAATGAGAATAAGTGAGAAGTAAGCATGTCTATCTTTCTTTTTTTTTTTTTTTAATAATTTTTAAATATTTATTTATATTTGAGAGATAGAGACAGTGTGAACGGGGTAGGGGCAGGCAGAGAGGGAGACAGAATCCGAAGCAGGTTCCAGGCTCTCAGCCATCAATGCTGAGCCTGATGTGGGGCTCGAACTCAGAAACTGCGAGATCATGACCTGAGCCAGAATCAGACACTTAACTAACTGAGCCACCCAGGCGCCCCAAGCATGTCTCTCTTTAACTGAACTTTGCAGAGTCCCTAAGAGTTTTTGACTGTGGGTCTGCCTTCACACATGTGCAAGATTCAGTGTATACTATCTGCCACATTAAAAACAAGTTTGCAATAAAAAATAATTTAAACTTATGAGGAAACAATCCATGACAAATGAGAATCAACAGAAACAAACAAAAAAGGATTAAGTACCCCCTCTTCCAAAAACTTCATTGATTTAAAATATCAGCTAGGAACTAGAAAATAGGTGTGTTTAAAATTATTTTCGATCCTTGGGATGCTCAGTCGGTTAAGTTTCTGCCTTCACCTCAGATCATGATCTTGCAGTTCGTGGTTTCAAGCCCTGCATTGGGCTCTGTGCTGACAGCTCAGAGCCTATAACCTGCTTCAGATTCTATGTTTCCCTCTCTCTCTGCCCTTCCCCTGCTCGTGCTCTGTCTCTCTCTGTCTCTCAACAATAAATAAATGTTTAAAAAGTAAAATTATTTTAGATCCACAAGGAGTTGGAAACATGAACAAAGAAAAGACATTGTCAAAAGAAAAAGAGTAGGCAGATTTTTTTAAATGACCATATGTAACTTCTAGAAACAAACAAACAAAAATTAATTGAAAATTTAAAAACCAGGGTGCCTGGATGGCTCATTTTGCTGGGCATCCAACTTCGGGTCAGGTCATGATCTTGTGGTTCATGGGTTCGAGCCTCACATCGGTGTTCTGTGCTGACAGCTCAGAGCCTGGAGCCTGCTTTGGATTCTCTGTCTTTCTCTCTGCCCCTTCCCCACTCTCAGTCTCTCTCTCTCTCTCTCTCTCAAAAATAAATAAACATTAAAAAAAAAAGAAAATTTAAAAACCTCAAGGAACGGGTTAAATGGCTAATAGGCAAAGCTGAAGATAGTATTAAAGAATTGGAAGAAAGATCTAAGAAAATCATCCAAAATATACTCTTTAAGTCCAATAAAGTATTCTAAAGTCCTTTCATTTTTCAGAAAGATGATGATAATTTTGCTTTGTTCATTCCAGAATGTTTATCTTTTAAAGACAGCCATGAGAACCAAAAGGAAATAGAATGTTCAAATAGGAATAGAATTAAACAAATGTGTTCATTTTTTTAATGTTTTATTTATTTCTGAGAGAGAGAGAGAGAGAGATGGCATGAGCAAGGGAGGGTCAGAGAGAGAGGGAGACACAGAATCTGAAGCAGTCTCCAGGCTCTGAGCTGGCTGTCAGCACAGAGCCCGACACCGGGCTCGAACCCACCAACCATGAGATTATGACCTGAGCCTAAGTCGGATGCTTAGCCGACTGAGCCACCCAGGCGCCCCTAAACAAACTTGTTTAATAGAAAGCAGTAAAGAAGGGAAAAAAGCATAGACAAAACAAGATGAATACAAAACAAAACACAGTGTCATAAAAATAAATCATATGCCAATAATCATCATAAATATTAATAAAACAAACTTTCCAATTAAGAGACATAAGTTGTCAAGTAAGAATATTTTTTAAATCCCCAGCTATATGTCACCCACAAGAACCACACATAAAACATAAGAACCTAGTAGTATTCAAAGTAAAAAATTTTACAAGGACACAAGGAGAATGTACAAAACAGTGCAATTCAAAAAAGCTAGGATAGCCATATTAATATCAATCAAAAATAGACTCTGAGAGAAAGAGAATAAAGTATAATAAATGCTTTACCAGGAATATATCTCAGAATCATTTAGTAACATAGTTTCAAAAACATATATGCTAAAGACTGACAAAATAATAAGGAGAAACTGAAAAATCTATAATCAGAGAGAGACATTTTAATAAAACTCTTTGATAACTATGTCCACTTCTGTCATGACTGATCAGATTCCAAAAACACTGCTAAAGGATACAGAAACTTAAGCTATATAAAGTTTGATATAATGAAATATATAGAACATTGCTCAGAAAGTTTGATAAGCAAGTTCTACCAAACATTCAAGGAACACATAATCCTCATCTTACACAAACTGCTTCTGAGAACAGAGTGTGCGAGAATGCCCTAAATACTTTCTATAACTCTCTATAACTTTAGTAAGTAGGATACTAAAAAGAGACAAGGACAATACAAGAAAATAAAGCCAGTCTTATTCAAGAACATAGATGCAAAAGCTCTAAATAAAATATTAGCCAAACATACTCAGCAATATTTGCATAAAAATACATTATAACCAAGATGAGTTTATTACAAGACTGCAAGACTCATATAAATATTAGAATTATCTATTAATTTATTACATTAACAATTCAAAGGAGAAATTATAAAATCATGTCAACAGATGCAGAAAATCATTTAATAAAATTCAACACTCATTTATGTACAAACTAGGAAACAGAAACTTAAACTGATAAAACAGAAATACCAAAGTCTATAGGAACATATACATACATAATAATGAATCCTTAGAAACATAATTTTTAAAAACAGGAATAACAAAACTATATTTGTGGTTACTGGTTCTATTCATAGAGTATTGGAAACCTCAGTCAGTAAAGTAGAACAAAAAAAGAAACAAGATATAAGAACGGAAAAAAGAAACAAAGCCATCATCAATTATTATGAGTTGATTACCTATATACAGAAAATCTAAAAGACTCTGAAGACAGATTTTTTTATTTTTTAAAATAGTTAATTGTAAGTTGGTTTCCATATAACACCCAGTGCTCATCCCCACAAGTGTCCTCCTCCATGCCCCTCTCCCCCCTCCCCCCCTCCCCCACCCACATCAGCCCTCAGTTTGTTCTCAGCATTCAAGAGTCTCTCATGGTTTGCCTCCCTCCCTTTCCCCAACTATTTTTCCCCTTCTTCTCCCCCATGGTCCTCCATTATCTTCCTCCTAATCCACTTATATATGCAAACATATGGTATCTGCCCTTCTCTGCCTGACTTATTTGCTCAGCATAACACCCTCTAGTTCCATCCATGTTGCTACACATGGCCAGATTTCATTCTTTCTCATTGTCATGTAGTATTCCATTGTATAAACATACCACATCTTCTTGATCCATTCATCAGTTGATGGACACTTAGGTTCTTTCCATGTTTTAGCTATTGTTGAGAGTGCTGCTATGAACACTGGGGTCCATGTGCCCCTATGCATCAGCACTCCTGTATCCCTTGGGTAAATTCCTAGCAGTGCTATTGCTGGGTCATAGGGGAGTTCTGTTGTTAACTTTTTGAGGAACCTCCACACTGTTTTCCAGAGGGGCTGCACCAGTTGACATTCCCACCAACAGTGTAAGAGGGTGCCCGTTTCTCCACATCCTCGCCAGCATCTAGAGTTTCCTGATTTGTTCATTTTAGCCACTCTGACCGGCATGAAGACAGATTTTAAAAGAATTGAGCTAGCTTTGCTGGCTTAAAAAACAAACAAAAATCAGTGCTTTCTTAATATCAGCAGACAATTGAGAATACATTTTTAAGCTTCCCTTTACAATAGCAACAACAAAAATGAGACACCTGGGAATCAATTTAATAAAAGATGCATAAACATAGCTAATATCAGAAAACTTCATTGAAAGATATTTTTTTAAAACCATGCATGGATGCAAGACCATGTTCTTGAATGGGAAGATTTGGTTTCAAAAAGACGTCAATTATCCCAAATTAGTCCATACATTTGTTGTGGGGAAAATAATGCCAAACTAGTTTTTCAAGGAAGGTGACAAACTAATGATAAAATTTATATAAAGGAGGCAAGAGAAATTTGAAGTAGAAGATGAAGAAATTTGCCCTATGAGATATAATGATTTATTGTAAACATTTTGTAATTGAGAACATGTATAATTGGTGAAGGTATGATAAATACCAGGAAACAGACCCAGATATATGAGAAACATTCTACATGAAAAAAAGTTATTAAAAATCAGGAGGGAAACAACTGACAACTTGATAAATGGAGCCAGGGTAATTGTTTATATACACACAAAAAAATCCCTTCCTCATGTACAAAAGTAAATTCCAGATAGATTAAAGACAAATATGAGAAACAAAATCATAATGCTTTTAGGAGAAAATTTTTATGAACCTAGGGTAGAGAGAGATACCTCAATAACAACAACAACAAAATACAAACAATAAAGAAATTTTAAACATCAACTACATTAAAATTGCAACTTTAAAAGCAATCAACAAAAAACTAGCATCCAGAATAAATAAATGCCTTCTATAATTCAAGAAGAAAATACAAACATTTCAACTGAAAAAAGGCAAAGGATATGAATGGTCAAATCATAGGAGGGGCAATGACCTGTGAACATATTAAAAGGGTACTTAGCCCCACAAGCAATTAAGAAAATGAAAATGAAAACAACCATACACACAAAAAAATGAGATACCATCTCACACTCCATCAGACTGGCAAAAACCGATGTCTGTCTTCCAGAGGGGAGGGTGTTATGCTTAGCGAAATAAGTCAGGCAGAGAAGGACAAATAGCACGTGTTTGCACGTACAGGAGGATTAGGAGGAACTTAACGGAGGACCATGGGGGAGAAGAAGGGGGGAAATGGTGGGGGAAAGGGAGAGAGGCAAACCATGAGAGACTCTTGAATGCTGAGAAACAAACTGAGGACTGATGGATGTGGGGGGGAGGGGGGAGATGGGCATGGAGGAGGGCACTTGTGGGGATGAGCACTGGGTGTTATATGGAAACCAACTTGACAATAAACTATTTGTTAAAAAAAAAACAAAAACGATGTCTGTCAAGACAAATGTTGGAAAATATATGGGGCAAAAGAAACACTCATGCTGCTGGTGGGTGTGTAAATTGTTATAGTCATGATGGCAGGCAGAATAGTGCCCCCCAAGTGTCCACGTCTTAATCCCCACAGCCTGTGGACATGTTGTGTTTCACTGCATTGAAAATGAAATTAAAGTTGCTACATAAAATAGAGAGATAATCCTAGATTATACACATGGACAGGTGTAATCACAAGATTCTTAAAAGTGGAAGAGAGAGGGAGAAGGGAGAATCATGGGAAGAAATAATGATGATAGCAGCTGAGTCAGAGACTTGCTCAGCTGCTGACTTTGAAGATGGAGGGAGGGAACTCTAAGGAATGCTGGCGGTCTCCAGAAACTAAAGAAGCCAAGGAAATAAATTCACTTCTACCGCCTCCAAGAAGGAAGCTGACCCTTCCAACCCCTGGATTTTAGCCCAGTGGGACTCATGTCAGACTTTTGAATGATGGAAATATAAAATAATAAATTTCTGTTATTTTGGCCCACTAAATTTTTGGCAATTTCTCATGGCAGCTATAGAAAACTAATACAACCACAACCACATTGCAAAGAAATTTTGAAACATCTAGAAGCTTAACTCCCAGGGCCATAACCACTGCTTTGCCACTTAATTATGGGGTCCAGGGGCCATCAGCATCACCTGTGAGCTCGTTAGAAATTCAGATTCTCAAGCCCAAATCCTTAACTTGCAGAGTCAGTACCTATGGTTTAACAAGATACACAGGTAGATGTCTAAGCACATTAAGCTCAGAAGTACCCTAGCAAAGATCTCCCATTTATGCCCAAAGAAATAGGTATAAAAATTGCAACATTATTGGTAAAAGCTAATCATAATCATCATCATAACCATAATAATCATAGTAATGTCTCTTCATCATAGAGTATATGAGTAAGTTGTTGCCTATATATACAATAGAATACCGTACAACTTGGAGCTAAAACTTCAACACAATGTTGAATGTAAAAGAAGTTAACTGTTACAAAGAGATTTGTCCAGTATGAATTTTATTGATAAAAAATTTTAAAACATGGAAAACAACACTATAAAATGCTTGTTGGTGTATATACACATACAACGAAAGTGTAAAAACATCCTGAAGATGATAAATACCAACTTTAGGATGGTGGTTGCCTCTGGACAGAAAAGGAGAGGAAGCAATTCTGGCAGAAGGTTGTTTTGACAAAGATGTTTGGTGGGTACACCCTTGTTCTTTATATGATTGCCTACATTTATCTAGTGGCTTCAAATATTCCATAACTTAAAACTATATTAGCTTATAAATGGAATCGATAGGATTTCTATACCTATATTGGTTTCTAACTCAAAAAAACGTTTTTTAAAAATTTATTTATTGATATTTATTTGTTTTGGGGAGAGTGCACATGGGGGAGGGGCTGAGAGTGGCAGACAGAAGATCCAAAGTGGGCTCTACTCTGGCAGCCTGACAGCAGCGAGCCCAATGTGGGGCTCGAACTCACAAACTGAGATCGTGACCTGAGGCAAAATTGGACACTCAACCAACTGATCCATCCAGGTGCCCCTCAAAACAGTTTCTATGCATTTACTTTTGCATCATTTGATAGAAATTCAAGTCAGCTGACAATGACTAATCTGGAGTTTTCCCCTTCAGGGCTCTCGGGACGTTTGTGAGTATTGTACCAGAAAGCTTTACACCATTTCCTCTCTTCAATCCCAACAACAGTGCTATTTATCACAAACTTTTTTAGAGATTGATCAGTATGTCTGTGTAACTTAAGTTCTATGCTCTAATGTACCCTGTACATGACATTTAAAATTCCTGATCCCTAAGGAAAACTCTTGATGAAAATAACAAAACAAAATAAAGCAACGTTTTGTGATGGACACATTTTTTTTATAGAAAATTCTAGGGGCACCTGGGTGGCTCAGTCGGTTAAGCATCTGACTTCGGCTTAGGTCATGATCTCACGGTTCATGGATTCGAGCCCCGTGTCGGGCTTTGTGCTGACAGCTAGCTCAGAGCCTGGAGCCTGCTTCAGATTCTGTGTCTCCCTCTCTCTCTCTCTGACCCTCCCCTGCTCATGTTAACTCTCTCTCTTTCAGAAATAAATAAAAAACATTAAAAAGAGAAAATTCGGAATATATTTCTAATACCTTGTACTCTGCGAACTCTTATACGCTCCACAATCTGCCGGAGACCAATTCTATGGGCAACATGTGGAAAAAATAATTCTCATTATTTGTCACCTCCCATGTACATTCAGTTTGATCCAGAATCACCATTCTATTAAATTAGTCACTGATATTCTGAAAATGATAGTCTTCTGTCCTTGATTCTCACATCTAAATGTCCTTTATTTATAGACATATCCCCACCATTTAAGAAACGTCTACATATGTGTAATCAGTGGTGTTTATTTGATTCTTTCTGTGTAGTTCTTCTATATACAAAGCCAAATTTAAAGTAAATAGACACCAGAAAATTTTTGTTCAAAAAAATCCCTAGAAATCAATTCTCCTGAGACATGTAAGTACTTGAGAGGATTCTGAGAAAAAAAATCCATACCATAAAGTAAGTGATAAGCAGATGTTTCCCATATGTTGTTTGCAGATAAGTCCTTGTAGCTTATGCAATATCTTTTCTTGAGATTTTGCCATTTTAAATCCAGTTGTCCCTACATGTCTTTGAGGTAAATCATATGTGACAAGGAAGCTGAGTCTAAACTTCCCTTGAAATAGTGCAGAAATGGGGGATTTAAATTTGCATTGCTACTTTCCTAACTATTCATAAAAATAGAGCATAGTTTTCATATGTCAGTTGTCTAAATCATGCCTCCCTATCTCTCAGGAACGTGAATACATTCCTCTGTGCTCTTTTTTTGGTTCAGTTTCATTTACTTTCATGCTTACGGCACTGCTTAGTTTTCATTTAAACAGCATCCAAATGTTGTTTCTCGTCAGGAATTCTTTATCAGAACTGTTTCCTTCTTAAGGGTGTGGTTTGGTTACTGTCAAATTTTCCTCTTTCCCCATGGCACATTACTCGGGAAATTTTGTCATTAGATAATAAGTAAATAAAATATTCCCTTTTTCAGAATCAGTTTAAGTCATGCTCTAGTGATTTTTCAGAATAAGATACTATGTTTTTTTAATCCGAAGATTTGGCCATCATTCCACACTATTTAATGACTAAGTGCAAAGTTTATTGCATTGACAATAATGGCGTTTCTACTGATTGTGAGCTAATCATCATCACGCCTGGTATTGTTCTTTCAACAGGTAATGCCATGTTGTTGAGGGTGTTACCTGCTGTGTATGAAAAGCAGCCTCAGCCAATTAACAGACACCTGACAGAACTCCTGGCCTTGATGTCTCAGCTGGAACAACCAGAACAGTACCATCTTCTACGGCTTTTACATGTAGCTGCAAAGAGAAAGCAACCAGAGGTAAAAAGTACACCATATACATGATGGTCCACACAATCAGGCATGCTTCTGGATTTGTGAACAAGATAAGTGCTTCAGGCTTCCTCCCTCATGTGTCTAAACACATCCATCCTTCGATGAAAGCACTCATTCACTTTTTCTAGAACTGTGAAAGTGAGGGGGTAGGTGATGGCAGAGGTTGGGTACTGTTACGGGTCCCCAGAGAAACAGAACCGATAGGGCACGAATCTGAACCGAAAAAAGAGCACAGAGGAATGTATTCACGTTCATGAACAATTGGAATTGGCTTATACGATTATCAGGCTGAGAAGTCCCACAGTCTGCCATTTGTAAGCTGAGGACCAGGAGAACCAATGGTGTAAGTTTGGTCCAAGTCTGAAAACTTTAGAACCTGATGGCTGGTGGTGTAAGTCACAGTTCAAGAGCAGGAGAGGATCAGTGTCCCAGCTCAACCAGTTATATTTAGGCCCTCAGCAGTTTAGATGAGGCCCACCCACATTGGAGAAGGCAATCTGCTTTACTCATTCTACCAATTTAATGTTTATTTATTTTTGAGAGAGAGAGAAAGAAGGTGATCAGGGGAGGGGCAAGGAGAGGGAGACACAGAATCTGAAGCAGGTTGCAGGCTCTCAGCTGTCAGCACAGAGCCCAACAAGGGGCTCAAACCCACCAACTGTGAGATCATGACCTGAGCCAAAGCTGGATGCTTAACCTACTGAGCCACCCAGGGGCCCCCTCATTCTACCAATTTAAATGCCAGATTGATATGCAAATACTCTCACAAATATACCTAGAATAATGTTCAAGCAAATATGTGGGCACTTGATGACCTAGCGAAATTGACACATAAAATTAACTGTAACCAGTATGGTACTAAAAACAGAACAAAGAACACACAAATCTGTAGCCATTGCAGAATAGCCCTAATTGAAGTTTAGTGTGGCCATGCAGTCCCAGGAATCTGTGGTTTCTCAGGTAGGGCCAAGGGAATGACCTGCACATGGGGAAATCAGCCTATAGTGAGAGCAAAGCCTCATTTTCTAAATAACTAGGATAATTGTGATTATCAGTAACAGAACACCCAACCCATCCTGGTTTAAAAAACAAAAGGAATTTATTAGCTAAGATGATGAGAGGGGGCAAAAAACCTCCAGATGAGGCTTGATCCAGTAGCTCAAATAATATGAAGAGAACAGTTTTCCTGTCCTCTATTTCTCAGATTTGATTTCTGGTTTTGACTTCTATTTTCTACAGGCTTTTTTCCCTGTGGGCTTCAGATGGGTACATCTGCTCTCTAGGCATTATGCTTCTTCTACCTCCACCACCACCACCAACATCCAAAGTCCTGATATTCTCTGTTTAGGACACACACTCTACCCGTGACATTTCTGCTAACCCTCAAGGATACTCAGATAGAGACTAGAGGCTGCCAGGAAGAGGAAAGTAGAAATGGATTATGGAGGGTACCAAAGCGTGTGTATAAGTAAGATAAAAAGTCATCCCCGGGTCATATCAGTTATGGCTGTATCACTGCTTCATTTCTTGATAATGTCAATACCCACCACTTGAAAAATCAGTGAACATTAGGTGAATTCTGGAACATTTGAAATCAACATGCAAATTGTTCAAAGAAAGACAGGCAAAATGGCTGTATGCATAATTAACTGTAACAGGCTACAAGTGCCTTGTGGTAAGGAACTATTTCTTCTTTTCTTCTGTATCACAGACCTGGGCATAGTATCTGGTAGCACTCAATAAACATTCACAAAACCAAACAGAATAAAACAAGGTGGTAAGTGTTCTACAAATGGTATAAACAGAAGGAGGGGCAATGAATTCTGCCTTAGGGAGAAGAAATGGGTGTCATGAAGATTCATAGCTGAAATGGCATCAGGGCCAGACCCTGAACAATGGGAGGTTGTATTCCAGGTAGAGCAGAGGGGCAAAGGAGCTTGATGAAGTAGAGATGGGGCTGGGAGTTCTTTTTTTTTTTTTTTTTTTAAATGTTTTATTTATTTCTAGTAGAGAGAGACAGCGTGAGCAGGGGAGGGTCAGAGAGAGAGGGAGTCACAGACCGAAACAGGCTCCAGGCTCTGAGCCGGCAGCCAGCACAGAACCCGACGCGGGGCTCAAACCCACGAACCGCGAGATCATGACCCAAGCGAAAGTCGGACGCTCAACCGACTAAGCCACCCAGGCGCCCCAGGGGCTGGGAGTTCTTGGACACTGGAGAGAAGAGTTGAGCCCCACCTATAGAGATTTTGATTCAGTAGGTCTGGGTAGGGACCTCCTTCTTACAAGTTCCCAGGTGAGGCTAATCCTGCTGCTCCAGGGACCACACTATGAGAAGGTGGGCTAGAGGTTGAGCAGAAGACTGGGAACATCAATGTCAATCTGGTGTACATTTTTGCTTTTGCCCTTAGAACAATATGTATCATTATTTTTGCATGTCTGTCTTTCCCAGTGAACTCAAAACTCCTTGAGAGGCATGGGACCTGTGTCTGCATCCTTATATATACTCCCTAGCATAGTGCTGGACACAGAGTAGGATTTCAATAAAAAGTTGTTGAATTCAGAAATGAATAAATGACCAAAAGAGACCAAAGAGATTGGAGAACATGAAGAATCAGGGGAAAGAGGTGTTGTGGTCTCCAAAGGGTGTAAAGTGACTCAACAGGATAAAGATCCAGAGAAGTAAATGAGCCTGGAGATTGGAACTATCCTTAGAATTGGCAACCAGGGACTCCCCAGGGCACTGTCTGTGTGGATGGGGTGAGGAGTGGTGGTTATCATCATTGACTATGTGTGGAGAGAAGGCTAGGAACTGACTGCATGTGTGTACAAGTTTAAAGGAAATAAGGAGAACTAAAGAACAATCCAGTAACAATGAAGAGATTGAAGATGTGGTACAAAACATTAGCTAGAATCAGGTGCTAGAGAAAGTTAGGAAATGAATTCCAGAGTGCAAGTGGAGGGATCAGTTTGGGAAAGGATTAAGGACAGAAAGTTTGAGCAAAACCGTAGTTGAGCTTGGGCAAGGAAGAGAGTTGAAGGATCACTGAATCACCTAAATGGAGGCTTAGAGTGAAGGACTGAGAAGGAGTGGGTATTTGTTTCCCATTTCCACAAACTCAGTGGTTTGAAGCAGCACAAATTTATTATCTTACCACTCTTGAGATCAGAAGTCCAAAAAGGATCAGCGGGGCTGCATTCCTTCCTGAGACTAGAGGAGAATCTGTTTCCTTGCCTTTTCAGCTTCTGGAGGCTGCTTGCACTCCTCATTTCATGGCCTGCATCCCTCTTCCCTCTTGTTTTCTCATCACATCTCCTCTGACTCTGAGCTTCCTGGCCTCCATCTTCTAAGGGCCCTTATAATTACTTGGTGCCACCCAGATGGTCCAGGTTATCTCTCCATCTCAAAACCTTGAACTTAATTATACCCACAGAGTCCCTTTTGCCACATAAGGCTACATCATCACAGGTTCAGGGGATTAGGGTGTGCACATCTTTGGGGAGTCATTATTCTGCCTACCATAGATAGAGCCTGGGGGCCAGATGATATGGGAAATGGTGGGGGGTAGGGGAGTGTGACTAAAAGGCCAAACTTGGTTTCATAAAGGAGGCAGCTGGCATGCCATTTTTTCTGCAGAGCAAAACACACCTTTTTGGAAAAGCAGGTTGAATAAAAATTCAAGGGAGATCTGGGGAGAATAACTTAATTCAATTTATTTCCCATGTGCTAAAGGCTGGACATGAAAGTAAATTAAACCAGGGGGAGGCTCACTTACAGGAAGGGGGAGGGAAAAGTCTTGGGATCTCCCTACCTTAAAAGGTGGGGTCCAAGAGTGAGGATGGCATCATGTGTGACATTCAAAGGGTTCCCATCAGACACCTGGTTACAGCCCTTCTATGGCTGCCTGAAGACTCAGGAAAGGACTTATGAGGCCATTTATAAGGTCCCTGACCTCTGCCCATTCTCATAGGGTCTCTTTACCTCCCAACACCTTGAGCAATTATATAGTCCTACATACCCACAGATGGGCACTCTCAGAGCACTGAGTTTTTACATATATGCTATGTGCTTCACCTGGAATGTTCTTTCCTCACCACTACCACTCTTTCTGGGATGACTATTCCTAGACTTTAGATAGATACTTAGATCTCAGTTTCTTGCCAATAATCTTATCTGACTCCTTCCTTCACCCCCATCTCTGCCATAGCAAATTTCACACTGTAATAACTCTGCCTCTACTGGTCTCTCTCTCTCTTTGGACCACCTTGGCTCTGATGCAAATGCTGGAGAGATGAAGACCACCTTGTTCACTACTGTGTCCCTGATGCCTTTCATAGTCCCTGGCATACAGAATAAATATATTTCTTCTGAATATATTTCTTAACACAGATGAGTTAATATTAGTGTGTAAATTTGCAGAGGACTTTATCATTCACAAAGGGCTTATTTTTCTTAAATCTTTAAAAAAAATTTTTAATGTTTTATTTATTTTTGAGAGAGAGAGTGACCAGGGTAGGGTCAGAGAGAGAGGGAGGTATGGAATCTGAAACAAGCTCCAGGCTCTAAGCTAGCTGTCAGCACAGAGCCCAACGTGGGGCTTGAACCCATGAACCTCGAGCTCATGACCCGAGCCAAAGTCAGATGCTTAACCGACTGGGCCACCCAGGCGCCCCTTAAATCTTTTTTAAAAATTTTTAATGTTTATTTTTGAAAGAGGGAGAGACACAGAAAATGAGTGGGGGAGGGGCAGAAAGAGAGGGAGACACAGAATCCAAAGTAGGTTCCAGGCTCTGAGCTGTCAGCACAGAGCCCAATTCAGGGCTTGAACTCACGAACTGAAAGATCATGACCTGAGTCAAAGTCAGATGCTTAGCTGACCGAGCCACCCAGGCACCCCAAGGGCTTCTTTTCTTAAGATCTAATTCTATCAATTTAATTTATTCCTACCAATAACTCTAATGTGTGTTATTTTTTCCTCTGTTTTACACCAGTCAAAACGGTTGTTCTGGGAGGCTAACTTGCCTCCATCACACAAGTAGTAAGAGGTTAAGTGACTGGTCCAGTCTAGGACTCTTACCCCCTAACCCCCTTTTCTCTCCTCAGCTTGGGGAAAAAAAACCAAGTAGCCTCCAATTTAAGGGGTACAGGCATACCTCATTTTATTGTGCTGCACTTTGTTGCACTTTACAGATACTGTATTTCTTACAAATTGAAGGTTTGGGTCAAGCGTGTGTCAAGCAAGTCTGTTGGTACCTTTCTTTTCCAACAGCATTTGCTTACTTTGTGTCTCTGTGTCATATTTTCATAATTCTTGAAATAATTCAAATATTTTCATTATTCTTATATTTGTGATGGTGATCTGTGATCAGTGATCTTTGATGATATTATTGTAATTGTTTTGAGGTGTCCCTAACTGCACCCATATGAGATGGAGAACTTAATGGATAAATGTGTGCTTTTACCACCCCACCAACTGTCTATCCCTCATCTGTCTCCCTCTCCTAGGGGCCCCCTATTCCCTGAGACACAACACTATTGAAATTAGGCCAGTTAAGAAACCTTCAAAAGTTTCTAAGTGTTCAAGTGAATGGAAGAGTAACAGCTCTCTCACTTTCAATTAAAAAACTAGACATGAGTAAGCTTAGTGAGGAAGGCATGTCAAAAGACAAGACAGGTCAAAAGAGAGGCCTTGTACACCAAATACTGGCCTCTTAGCTAAGTGTAAATTCAAATGAAGAGTTCTTGAAGAAAACTAAAAGTGCTGCTCCACTGAATACATGAGTGATAAGGAAGCAAAACAGCCTTATTGCTGATATGGAGACAGTTTGAGTGGTCCGGATAGAAGATCAACTGCATCATTTCCTTAAGCCAAAGCCTAATCCAGAGCAAGGCCCTAACTCTCTTCAATGCAGGTGTGGAAGTTGCAGAAGAAAAGTTTGAAGCTAGCAGAGACCAGTTCGTGAGGTTTAAGGAAAGAAACCATCTTCATAATGTAAAAGTGCAAAGTGAGGCAGCAAATGCTGATGTAGAAGCTGCAGCAAGTTATGCAGAAGATCTAGCTAAGATAAGTAATGAAGGTGGCAACACTAAACAGCAGATTTTCAGTGTTGATAAAACAGCCTTCCAATAGGAGAAGATGCCATCTAGAACTTTCACCACTAAGGAGGAGATCTCAATGCCTGGATTCAAAGCTTCAAAGAACAGACTTCTCTTTTGCTACAGGCTAATGCAGCCGGTGATTTTAAGTTGAAATCAGTACTTAATAACCATTTTGCAAATCCTAGAGCTCTTAAGAATTATGCTAAATCTACTCCTAGATTTGGAACAACAAAGCCTGGTTGACAGCACATCTGTTTACAACATGGTTTACTAAATATTTAAAGCCCACTGTTGAGACTTATAGCTCAGAGAGAGAGAGAGAGAGATTCTCTTCAAAACATGACTACTCATTGACAATGCACTCGATCACCCAAGAGCTCTGGTGGAGATACACAATGAAATTAATGTTTTCATGCCTGCTAACACAACAACCATTCTGTAGCCTATGGAACAGTCAATGGAGTGATTTCAACTTTCAAGTATTATCTAAGAAATATATTCCATAAGGCTATACCTCACATAGACAGTGATTCCTCTGATATATGCAAAGTAAACTGAAAACCCTCTTGAAATGAGTTACCACTCTAGATGTTAATAAGAACATGCATGATTCATGGGAAGAGGTAAAAAAAAAAATATCAACATGAACAGGAGTTTGGAAGAAGATGATTTCAACCTTCATAGATGACTTTGAGGGGTTAAAGACTTCAGTAGAGGAAGTAATTGCAGATATGGTAGAAATAGCCTAAGAATTAGAATTAAAAGTAGAGCCTGAAGATGGGACTGAATTGCTACAATTTCATGATAAAACTTTAAGAGATGAAGTTTTGCTTCTTTTGGATGAGCAAAGAAAGTGTTTTTTTGAGCTGGAATCTACTCCTGCTGAAGATGCTATGAGGATTGTTGAAATGACAACAAAAGATTTAGAATATTATATAAACTTAGTTGATAAAGCAGCATCAGGGTTTGAGATGACTGATTCCAATTTTGAAAACAGTTCTACTGTGGGTAAAATGTGACCAAACAGTATTGCATGCTACGGAGCAATCATTTGTGAAAGGAAGAGTTCATCTATATGGCAAATTTCATTGCTGTCTTATTTAAGAAATTGTAACAGACACCCCAACCTTCAGCAACTGCCACCCTGGTCAGTCAGCCATCAATATAAAGACAAGACTCTCTACCAGCAAAAGGATTACAAGTCATTTAATACTCAGATGGATTTTTTTTTAACAATAATGTATTTTTAGTTAAAGTATATACATTTTTAGACATAGTACCATTGCACCTTAATAGATTAGAGTATAAGCATAACTTTTATATGTATTGGGAAACTACAAAATTCATTTGAGTCTCTTTATTTTGATGTTCACTTTATCATGGTGGTCTGGAATATCTCCAAGGTATTCCTGCAGTGTTCTCAGCTGGTTACAGGAGGCAGAGGAAGGCAAACAAGGACACTAATAGTGGTTGAACTAATGCCAAGTACCAGACACTGTGTAGGTGTTTTACATTATCTCACTTATTACTCATAACAACCTTTCCTTTGGTAAACAGAAAAGTCAAAGTTTGGAAGGGTTAAGAACCGTGGTGGTACAAAGGAGTGACAGTGTGGTGGCTATTTATACCCTCCTCATCTTTATCAGCCCCTCCAATTTTCATATGGGCAATGTCCATGTCTCCCACTGGCCATTAAAGTCACACTGTCTTCCATGTGACTGCCATTTACAGAAAATCTGGGGCTATCACTGTTTAGGTAACTTTCCTAAAGCCATACAGATAAGTCTGAGCTACATCATAAACCCAGTCTAATTCCAGCCGTTGAGATCTTTTGGCCTCAACACTCTGAAAACTTGAGGCTATAAGGTGTGACTTGTGAAGCATATGGGAGCTGAGAGGGCTCAGTAGACAAAGGCAGTCAGGAAGGTGAGCTCTATAGGAGAAGTAGGAGACCTGACCTGAATGAGGAGAGAGTGAAAGCAGAGTGCTGTAGGTGTTGTGCATGCTAAGTGTAGATCCCAGAACGAAGCAGCAAGGGTTTAGGAAATAGGCACAGTGCTGTGAATGGATCTCACCTGTGTCAGGGCCCTAATGGGGGAGAAGTTGTAGCAGGGGAATGAGCCAGACCTCTGTTTCCCATCAGCACTCCCCTTCATGTTAAAGCGGGCCTCCACCTGCCTCCTGTGGCTCGTCATGTGGCTCTTCATGGCTCACACTTGGTTACTGAGGTGTGCAGACAGTGGGCCAGAGAAATGCTGGATTCACCTCCTCTCTCTTACGTTCCTTAATTAGACAATGGGCAAAAAGGAAGGGAGGCGTATATGGAGAAAGGGAGAGAAGAAAGAGAAAAAATGGCAACAATTAGAAATGCAGACTGAGACTTTCAATTTAAGTCGTTAACTTCATTGCAGATGAAACAAGGAGCTAAATGAGGAGGGTTTGACCCTGTGGAACTTGGATTAAAGTGAAACTTTCCTTTCTGCATAAAAGCTATGCCACTGCTTTGTAAATAGGAAGTAAAGCGAGCAGGTTCTCCAGTGAAGACAAGGTTGAGATTGCAAAGGTGGCAGAACTTCAACATCCGTATATCTGTGGGCTTCACATGTGGCTGGCCAGGCAGGTGGGTCCCATCACTGCCCTCTGGGCATCACTCTTTCAGGAAGCCATCCTTCCCAGTTAGAAGGAGGCAGTTCCTGGCTAGTGATTCATGCCTGGAACCTCCAGAGAACCCTCAGGGTCCATTTATAGGAAAAGGCTGGGTGGTCAATTTTCCAAGTGTCCTTTTGGGGCTAAGTCTGTATTCTTGGCTGTTGTAAACCATGCTGTAATCTAGCCAACAAAAGGAACACAATTTAGTAACACATAAGAGCTCATCTGTTATTATCCCCAGGACTTGGGCTTATAGTCCCAACCATACAGAGATGAGTGGCAGAAAATAGCAACTTCAGCCCTCTGTTGATTAATGTCCAAACCCAGAGGAACTGCTTTTGTGGCCTGGTCCCTAGAGGAAAGAGTCATTTTTCTTGGATTTTCAAGTTTAGAGCATTCCTATTCACATACCTAATCCTTCAGCACCTAACACAGCATCATCAGGCTGCTAATACTCAGAGGTCACTTTTGGTATTTACTTAAAATAAGCCATTTGCATAATATTAAGAAGATGGAGTGATGGAATATATAGACTGTTCTACAACAGTCTTTGGAGCAGAACCATGGTTTTCAGTATATATATTTTGTCAGTGTGGTGGGAATAATTAGTAAATGAAGAGTGGCAGTTATTTTATAGGCTTCTGAAGAGTAATAGAGATTGTTAATGCTGGCCAAATCAATTAGAAGAGAAAATTGAGCCCGAGGACTAATTTAAGAGGGAGTATGTGTGCACACACATACACACATGTACACATATGTGCACACACACTAGCTCTACCTTTTATTATATACATAAGAATTTAAATGCTATTTGCTGCTAATTAAGATGCTATGTATTATGGTGCTATGTTTTCAGATGGCCTTACCCTCATAGCCCCTCACAGGTCAGGGGTGAGGAGAGATGTCCTCAAAACTTCCGTTCAAAGGCAAGATGCTAAAACTGTCAGCAGACTGCTCTGAGAGCACAAAAAAGGCAGTGATTAATTCCACTCAGGAAGGCAGGGAGAGCCAGGGAACGTGCCTTCCCTGGGCTACTTACTTTAGAGACTCATGGTCTGGCCTTCGCCTACATGTTCCCCCAGTTCCCACACATTCTGTCACCTAATAAACGTAGTCCAGGTAACTGGGACCTTGAAATTCTTTTCCTATACAGCTCTGTCCTGCTTCTAGAGCTTCAACAGACCTGGCCCCTGGGTCAGTTCTCCCAAGGACAGGCCGTGCCAACAGCATGACCCCACAGGCCTGAGGAGTGTTTCAGTCAGATGAACTTGCATAAGCGGGCTGGGGTATTCACATACACGCATACAAGACTCCCTACAGGACAAAGCCAGGAGTAGAAAGAGAAGAGAGGGGCCAGGAATGGGACCTAGAGGTCATTTCTTTCTGTTCCCTCCACACAGGCCAAAAATTGCAAGTTCAAATCAGGCCTCCTAGATTGTTATAAAGGTATATGTATCAGGTAGAGGGTAGCTCCTGAGTATTTGAGTGTGTGGTGTGGGGACCTTTATTTGCACTCTAGCCCTAGGTCCTGTGTGGACCCCAGCTGTAGACCATGACAAATCTTTGAAGTTTTGACATGATTAGATGGGGCAGTTTGAAAGCTCTTTCAGCGATCCATGCCATGAGGCTTGTGGCCTCAACAAAGGCCGTGTCAGCTTGCCCTCCGCCAGACATCTATACTGTTGTAGTGGCTGCTCTGCTCTCAGTGATGACAAGGCCTTCTCTGCACTATGAAGCAGCTCCCCAATGAGGCAGCATGAAAGAGACCAGCCTAAGGAAATCCCTTGTATTTAGAAAATAAAATTCCTTCTTATTCTAGAATAATCTGCCTAAAGCCCAAAACACCACTTCCCTTTCATGTGTGTGATAAACTTCAGGAAATATATGTCTTTTCTATCACTATCATAATAAGCTTTTGGGTTATCACGAAACCACAAAGTAATCAATTTTTGTTCAGTTGGTAAAAGTACTTTATTTACACTATTCAAGTCTTCTCAACTCTTGATGCTTCTATGGATTCAGCTGTGCCTAAGCATATGTATTTTCCTTGAACCAGCTTTCGTCTTGTCTGTCTGTCTTTCTTTCTTTCTTTCTTTCTTTCTTTCTTTCTTTCTTTCTATTCTTTTTCCTTATGGTACAATGGATACAATATACTCTTGTATGGCTTGGGATGTATAGCTGGAGTTTAAATAAAATTGGCATGACTAGAAGCACATGTCACAGAGACCTTCATGTTCCAGAAATAGGACATGAAGAGTAAGGACTGGGAAATGGAATTTTATAGAATGGGGCAGGAAATGTGTAAGCATTTTCCATTCCTAAAAGACTCAGGTTAAATACGCTGCCCTGACCCAGAGCAGCTGGCTGACACTTCTGCCTTATGTGCCAGGGATCTCTCGTGGTTTCTCCTGAAGGACATGCAGCCACTCCCAAATGCATAGACAGCATTTGTGGACTTGTTCAAGCATATGTGCTGTATACCAGAAACTAGCCCTGGCCCTTCCTCCACAAGTACTAGATATGAATATTCAGTTTAAATTTATATGTAGGATAATTTTATTCCTTTCAAAATGTTTGCTTTTATGTCCCTGTTAGTTATGTTGTATATGACATGTGACAATATATACATTAAAACATTATGTACAACTGTTCAACACGGTGGGTTGGGGTGTGGAGGTTATTCAAATTCTAGCCTATAAAACCATTTAGATTTTTCTTCCTTTGATTTATTCCTCAAATATTTATTGACTCAGTTTCTAGCCAGGCTCTGTACTAGGCTTTGGGTATTCAATGGGGTACAAATTCTTGTAGAGTTTTTAATCCAGCCTATAAAACAAACATCTAGACCATCAATATGAAGAAAGCATATGGTTTGCTGGGAGCCATTTAGGGTGTGATAGGGGCTTCAGCCAGGGCACTGGAATGATAGGGGAAGAGAAGGGAGTGGACGAAGGCTTTTAAAGGAAACAACAGCTAACCCAAGGCCTCAAGAATGAGAAGGGATATCCAAAAAAAGAGGGGCAATAAGAATTACAGGCAGAGTGAATCATATGAGTACAATCCTAGATGCAAGAGAAAACTTAGCAGGTCAAGAAAAAATTTTGAAAAAATCAACACAGTTGAAGTATGATATCTGATGGGATCTGGATGGGGGGATAAGTCTAGAAAGATGGTTAGGCATCAGTTAGGAAAAGGTATGTTAAGCCTCTATCTTGAGAGCAGTGGCAAATCAGTGAACTATTTTAAGCAGAGGAAGGTTTTCTTTTAAGGCCACAACGTAGAGAAGGAACTAGATGGACAAGACTGATGGCAGAGAGAAGAGTTAGAAAGAAAGCTGTTGGAATACCCCAAGTTCAGGATGATTGGATCAGTGGTCTCAGCTTAGATGTGCCTGCTGAGAGAGTACTTTCCTGACTCAGCCTATACTAGGGCCCCAGGATAGTCTGTCATAGCACCTTGTATTTTCCTATATGGCATTTATTAAAATTTATAATTATGTATTTCTATTATAGTTACTTGTTTTATGAAATGTCTCATTTACTAGACAGTGAAGTATTCCCCAAAGGCAGGAAACTGTCAGACTTATTAGCAGCTATAGCACCTAGAATACTACCTTGCAAATAGGAAGGACTCATTAAATATTTATAAATAAGTGAATGGAGAAATGAATGGAAACAAAGGGAAGTGGACAGATCTGTGGGATACTTGGGAGGTGGAATCAGTAGGATTGGTGGTTCCTTGGATGAAGCTAATGATAAAGGGAAAAGAACAGTCAAGAATGATTCCCAGACTTCTGGCTTGAGTAGCCAGGTAGATAATGATGCCATTTATTGAGAAAAGAGACACTTGAGACTAGAGAGGGAAGTGAGAGAAGCAGGGTTTTGGCAGGGGGTGGATTATAAATTTAGCAGGTTGAGCTGAGTATCAGATTTTGTTTTAATACTGGAAGCTACATTTCAAGTCTACCTGACCAAAAAAGTAACAAACCAAAAGAGCAAACCAACAACAAAAGAAATCAGCATAGTAGAAATATATTTTTTTATGTTTTTTATTTTTTTTAATTTATTTCTGAGTGAGAGACAGCAGTAGCAGGGGAGGGTCAGAGAGAGAGGGGGACAGAATCTGAAATGGGCTCCAGGCTCTGAGCTAGCTGTCAGCACAGAGCCCGACACGGGGCTCGAACCCATGAACCGTGAGATCATGACCTGAGCCGAAGTCGGACATTTAACCGACTGAGCCACGGAGGAGCCACAGCATAGTAGAAATATAGATGGGCAAATTGTTTTTACTTTTACTGTTCAGTTTTCCACAGGTTTTCCTTTCTAATTGTTTTATTTTTGCAGACAAAACAATGCATTAAGTTGTTGGTGTACAACATGTCTGTGTATTAACATAGCATAGTGACTTTATTCCGCAAAAAGCATTTTCTTTAATATGAATTATTGCATCTTTATATTCATACAAGCATTCAAAATCAAGAAAGCCATATTAGGGTATCAGGAATATGGTAGAACTTATTTTACTTTATTAATCTTTTTTATCTTAGTACTTTTTTGTGATCAAAATGGAAAATTGAAGAAAATTTGAAGGCTGTTTCCTGTTTTCTTGTTTTTATTAAATATTTCCAAACCATACTTCTACAATTTAAAGGCTTTCATTAAAGTCATCAAGGATCTTTTGCATATTTATATTGCTCTTTAAGTTGCACTTTTATGGTAGATTGGAGGAAATATAATATTCTGGTGAGAATATAACACCTCAAAACTTGACTTATGAATAGCAGCATATAAACATTTTGTGAACTTCCCTCTTCAATAGCAGAGCACAGATGAAAAGAAAAACGAAAAGAAACTGAAGCCTCTGAAATTTTATTGTAAATTTTAAATTTCAGTCTTGGGGTATTCCCTTGAGTTCCAATGAGGGCAATAATCCCAGAATGTGTTGACTTCAGGTTTCATAAAATCAAAAAATATTAGATTGGCTCTGATTTAATTAATTTTCCTCCTTTTTCTCTTTCTTCTCTTCCTCTCTCTTTTCTTTTCATAGGTGGTTCAGAAATGTATTCCTTTCCTAATTAGGCATTTGAAAGACTCAACCCATAGTGATGTCATCCTAAACATCCTCATAGAGATAGCAGGTTACGAACCTGTGGCTTTGAACAGTTCTCTTCCAATGCTGAAAGAGATTGGTGAGAGATTCCCCTACCTCATCGGACAAATGGCCAGAATCTATGGAGCTGTGGGGCATGTGGATGAAGTAAGTTTGACTTTTTTTTCTCTCTATTTCCCTAAATTCCATTGGCACTTAATCCACTGGGGCTCTGTGACCTACAAATGGGTCCTGGAACTTTTGAGAGCTCCCATTTCTCTTTCAAACCTTTTGTATGGACAGTGGCCTTTGGATCAAGGGCACATTGTAGCAGAGCTAGGTAGAAGGCTCAGGAAGCAAGGATCTCATTGCTGGAGTGTCACCTGAGGAAGGGGAAGGATTAAAATGGAGAAAGCACTATGACAGATTAAGACCACCTTGTAATAATAACCAATAAAAGAATTTCATCTCATTTCTGGTTGACTTTCTGGTTAACTGAGGAAACCGTGAGTAAGCACAGGGTTAGGCCTCAAACACTACTGATTAATACAATCCCATAGCTATGCTCTCAATAATAGTGCCTGCATTTGGTTGGTGTATTTTGAGCCTTCTGGATGATGTTACTTGGAAGAGTGAAATAAATGTTCATGGATGTTTATAAGACCTAGCTAAATATTTGCACAATAGAAGCTTTTGGCAGGAACAACAGAATGCCATCAGATTGTGGGGATTAAGCGACCAAGAAACAATTTCCAGAAATTCAGGTTCTGAAGGGTGTGCACACATGCATGTCTGCCTGATGATTTTATATTGGGCTTTCGGATTTTTATCTTTTTAAAATAAAAGTAAATACATAGTTGATGGAGGGAAGCTTTTATTTTCGCCCACTTACATATAATAGTTATAAAATCATACAACTCTTTAAAGGGAGTCCATAGTTCATCAAGTTCAATCCCTTGTTTCTACACGAGAGAAAATTAAAGGCTAGAAAAGTCGAGTGA